TACGAGACATGTGGATCAGACGATCAATGTACTACAACGTCGGGATCCCAAGAAAAGGAATCCCTGTCCATTTCATTGCTTGACAATGATTGATCCCGTAACGATGGTTCGAGATTGCAGATCTGCTCCAATGCAGAGACGAAGTAGCCATCGTTCTAGAACAGACGTGCTCACCCAGTATCCATGGCCTGTGAGGTTACATGGATAGGAACGTGAGTTCCGCGCAGAAGTCGAAAAGACTCTCCGGATGAATATGGACTTCGTCGCAAGTTCATACCACACGTGTTCAATCGTGTGACGCGATTCACAACGTCCGTTCGAAGAACTGGAAACACATCAAAGAAGTCGCCAACGTCATCCAGAAACACACTAATAAGGAAAACGCGACGCATATCCCTCATCAATACAAGTCAACGATACTGTGAGTTCACAGTATCAGCCCGCAAGTAGGTCAGCCAAGTACAAGTCCTTACAATATAGACGAGTCAATAACAAGGCACTGTACGGCTCCGACATGCTACCCAATGGCGGCACAGTCTACCAGACTTGGAACATAAGGTATTTACACCCATACAAGGCCTATCCCCTTGTAGGATTCATCGTGCGACGCACATTCTACATCCAATCTCCGGAGGAGTGCCCCGCACTTTAATTCATATGTTCTCCTTGTCCGACTGATGTCGTGCCTTCCGTGACCCTTGTCAGGGGGCGAATGCAATACACGGCTCTTAGCCTTATTCGTGACTCGATCCTAGATAGGGTTTGAGTTCGACTCATGACGTAGTCCTTCGCGAATAGTCATTGAGACATGGTTCTCATGACTGCTAGTCATACTAGGTTGTCGATGAAACATCGCTCTAGATATTTAGCCGGCGTGGAAAGCTTCCACGCTACTAGACAGCTACTAGCTGAAGTTTCCACGTGTTCCGGAAATGGACCGTGGAGTACGTAGAGTTATTGCCATAACCTACGATATCACACTTCGAGGCCTCCCACGGGAGACCAACTTCAATGAGCTTCACAACGATCTCTCTCATGGATTAGTTTTCGTAGCTTTCTAATCTCTCTCATAACTTTCATTCTCTCAAACTCAAAACACTCGAAAGATCTTTACACTAGCTTTTAGCGTAGTGCAAGAATGCCAACCAAACCCTCGATGAAATCTACCCACTACACATCGAGGCGCTGGAGAAAGCTGGACTGGTTCCAGACAAGATACCAACACTACAAGAAGAAATACAACGATACTCCCAGCGACAAGAGGGCAAAGCAAACGAACCAGATAGAGATGCCAAGCAACGAAAGAGGAACCGGAACCGATCATTATTCTTCTGTATAGGACACTCCAACGCCTGGACGACCCCAATACACAAGGTAATCAACGACCTCAAGAAGAGCCATGGCCTCGAATGGATTAGAACGTCTATGTCCTACCATCGATTCACCAACCTGCGAGAGATGTTCATGGGCGACCTATCGAGGAAGCTCACCAAAGACATCATCTCCACCGAGTTCCAAAATGAAACTTGCAACTGCAAGCCGGGAAACAAGAAAGACGGCCAATGCCGATTTGACGACCGCTGCAGAAATAAACTGGTCATATACTGCATTAAATGCATTAACTCGGGCAAAGAATACGTTGGGGCAACCCAACGAAATGTCAAAGAACGAATATACCAACACTTCACCGACGTCATGCGTCTCCTCTACGGAAAACGCAAGTCAGATTCATACGCAAGACACTTCGCCAACGAATTCCAAAACTTCGCATCTCCTTTACCATTCCGACTCAACGGCGATATTCAAAGGAACAGCATCGAAATTAGCATCCTATGGCAAGGCAACCCCATCAGCACTGTCAAGACCTTCGGGACACGACACTGCAGCCTATGCAACAGGGAGCGACTCGAGATACTGAAACGATCCAGAGAATCGCCAGAAAACCTGATCAACTCCTGCAACGAAATATACGGAGCATGCCGACATAAACCTCGATTTCATAAGTACCACAATAGCCCAAGCACTGATGATTCCCAAGGGGGATGAAAAAGTCAAACAACCGAAAAGTTACCACAGAGTAAAGCCTGTGTTTTGGCGATTCGGCAGTTTGTGCTGATCAAGAGTAAAACTACTTTTAAAATTCAGTCACTTTTTGCTAAAATCGTATGACCAAGAGATATGATTCAATGGCAATGATAGTCTAAAATCTTGAATGTATTCTACGTGATTGGTGCATTGGGGCCATGAAAGAGCAGGAATAAATGTTTTTTTAGTAATAATGTAAGCAAGCAAAACTGGTCCAAACTCCTCCCAAATCATGGGTGGCATGTTCCGAGGCCAACTTTGATTGTTTTGTGTGCATACTAACTAGGGCTATTGAAGAGCAGGAATAAATAGGAAACCCTTCAAGGAGGATGATGCTTTGGAGGACTCCATCGCTCTGAAAAAAGGAGGAATTCATGGGATTATGTCCCAAAGGCCTGCTAAAATGCATAGTTGACAAATTCTCAGCCCAACTATTACAGTATTTGAACCAAGAGATATGATATAATTGCAACTGACCAATTAGCTCAGTTGGTAGAGCATCGGATTCCAGACCCGAAGGTCGTCGGTTCAAGTCCGGCATTGGTCATTTTGTTGCTCTGAAGCTCCCCAGGTGTTGTGTGTTGCAATAGAGCCAACCTCAATCTGGAACATTTGCCACTTGCACGCTTTGTGAGCTATCTCTAGCTCCCTTTTTTTTCTTTTGCACCTTGTAGCATCGATTTGTACCTACCTGGTATGGCCATAGATGTTTGTAATGGTCTCTCCTACTGCTGTGGTGGTCGCAGGTGGTATCCCTTTGGATTTCAACGACGCAAAATCACTACTCGTTCGCCTTAGTACAATGAGGTGCTGGTTTCCTGTACTGTACTGTAGTTAGTTAGATAATTATACACAATCAATGAGGAAACTCACCACTCTTCCAAAGCCTACTACCGGTAGCTAGCAGTGTCATTCTTTCACTAGCACCGGGGTAACGGTAGCATTCGGCCATGCCGCAGAGTTTGGTGTGATACCAGTGTTCCACTAATCTCTGGGTCTGCACCAGGATTCAGGATGGGGTTTCGCTCTGAGCTAATGCTGTAAACAACAACAGAAGCCAATGGCGATAACAATGCCATTGTCGACGTGTGATGCAACGATGCAACATCTGAGGCTTGGTGGGTTATTGCGTCGTCCTTGTGGACAGTTCGTCGCCGATGGGTTCGCAAAACAGCGGTGTGACTCAGTCGAATCGAATGAATCGATTCGATTCTCAAAGCTCGACTTTGTCGGGCCAATAGCATTGGCCACCCGCACCCGTTGCCGCTGCGGTACCTAGCTCGCTCTGCGCTAGCTCGCCCTCAGCTACAGTACATCATACCGCAGGTAGGACCAAGGGATAAGACGTGTGGCCCAGAAGTGGCTATCGTTCTGAACTGGAGTATCTGTCTCTTTAAGTGCCAAGCATAGAGAAACGATCAAAACTTGATGGCTACATTACCAGTAAGCAAAGCACCACGGAAGACGCAACCGAAGATGGTTTGTAGTGCGTACCGGTACTGTGTTTTTCACAATTGCATATGCCTAATATCTTGCTATTGGTGCTGTTGTCGGCGCCGCTTCATGCTTCATGCTTCGTGCACAGGTTTCCTTTGGCTGGTGGAACCGCCAAAGCATTGCTTGAGGGCACGCAGTGGCTGCGTCTCCACCAAAGCTCTTCTTGTTGCTTGAGAGAAGAAAAGTCATGGGCAGGGACAGTATCTTTACTGGTGAGCTGCATGAGACTGTTTGAAATCGCGAGGTAAACTTTCGCCTTGGGGGTCGCAGAGGATACGGTACCAGGTACCAGGTACTGGTAGATGTGCCGTACTGTATCTCGATCTTCGCCCCTCTGCGGTCCTTGGGAGCTGTCACGCCAACAACATCATAATATGTTTGAATTTTTGGATGTGCCGCCGAGCCAATGCTGTACAGTACCGGTAGCCTTTCCTGTATGATATGTGTGTTCACATGGAGGCACCGTACCGGTAGAAGTCTCGTACTAGTATGGGTATTCGGTACGGTAGAGAGGCAATCTAATATCTAGAACCATCATCAAAATGAACGTGACCAATCCCAAAAAATTCCCAATGGTGTCAAGGAGGCCATACGGTAGACTGACTCGACTCGACTCGACTCGGATACGGTGATACTTGCTTCAACGTTGTATGGCTCTGCAGCTCCACTGCGTTATTAGTTGATGGGGGTTATTCCTTGGTTATTTGCCCCCAAAATAATGTGTTCGCCCCCTGTTGTTGACACTCCAACTGCTGGCAAACGCACGAGGACGAGAACCGGAATGCAGCGAGGCTTCTCACTCGAATTCCTCTTCGAAGCCTGCCTGCTCATTCTTCTTTTGTTCAAAGATTTACTCCACAAGTAGTGGGATGTCAACACGTATTCGTTGGGTATTAGGGGGTGGAGAAATCCAGTGCTAACCAAGGTAAACCATGACTAAGACAATGGTTGACCCTGGTTGACAGTGTCAAACCATGTACCAGTAAAACAGTGTCTTTTCAATAGTGATAACAGTGGTTAAAGCAGGTCAAATACTGTTAATAACAGTGGTATTCCGTTGTAAGATAATGGAGGTAGTGTTGAAAAGGCCACCGTTTCGAGAAACAGTAATTGGCAGTGGTTAACTGATCTCATGACTGTCAAAACTGGTGAGAATGGGATTGCATTGATTTTCTCCACCTCCCAGATCTTCAAGTAGACCTCGATTGCTGCCACAGAACAAATGGTTTGGGAATCTCGAACGAGATTTTCTAGCTAGCTAGTAGCCAGGCTGTCAACTGCAAGAAGAGATATCACCAGTAAGTTGCAGTGAGTGATCAACCCTCGCTCATTCATTCATTTCTCATTCATTTGCCGCCACTTTGGCTGTCGACTTTGATTGCCTCTTGTTGTGACAGAACATTGATAAATAAATAACCATGGCCTGGCGAAGCAGTGGCACTACAAATGATGAAATGGTGGACAACCTGAAGCGTAAGTTGATGACAGGAAGCTACCCAGTGAGCGGGTTTCGCTTTTCTTCTGTGATATTTGTTCTTTGGAATTTGTTCCTGGCTGACCATGGTGATGGGTATGCTGCCGTTTTGTGCTGTTTTGTTTTTCTGGTGGATTGATCTTATCCTCGCAGGGTCGCGGATAATCTATAAAGATTGCGTTGCCGGATACCATTTCAGCCATCAACCTGTTGCTTCTTCTTGTTGTTGATATCCCTGTTCTATTCTATTCTTATGTATTACCTCTCACTCTGCTTTTGTTGCTTCCATTAACCATCTCCCTGGTTGGCTGTTGTCGACATCTTCCTTCTTCCTTTCTCTTGCCGCCGACGAAATCCCTCGCCGTTTTTCTTTTTCTCAGGTTTTGGGGTGATTTCTACCCCAGCGGTCGAAGAGGCGTTCCGTCAAGTGGATCGGGCCTTCTTTGTTCCACCGGTATGTTTGTTTGATAGATTCGCCATGGCATGGAGATAATGCTAAGATGGTGGCGGCAGTGGAGGCGAACTCTTATGTCATGGTGTATGTTCTGTTCTTACCGAACCTCTTTTTGTCGTGCTTGACTTGATGGACCGCAGAATCAGAGGGATCTCGCCCACTCGGATCAGCCACTTCGCGAGGGTAACCTTCACATCTCGGCGCCTCATATCTATGGAAGTGTCCTGGAAGCTCTCGAGCTTACACCGCAATCCTCTCTCAGCTTCCTCAATGTGGGATCAGGTACTGGGTACATGTCCTGTATTGTGGCTTCGGTTCTGGGGTGTCACTCCAATAACTACGGTGCGTCCTTGCGCAAATCCAAACTGATCTACTTTGCTACTGACCTATGTACCGGTTCTTGCTAACTTACTTGCTTGTTGTGGTCCTATCTATCTCATCATCAGGTATCGAGGTCTTCAAGGATGTGGTGGAACACTCCAAGGAAGCCACGGTGCGCTGGAAGGCGTCGATCCGCAAGCCTGTCCCGCACATTGAGTGGGTTCATGGGAATGCACTCAATATTAACCCTGACAAGGGCGAAGCGGTCGTTGGATTCGATCGAATCTATATTGGAGCTTCTGTCGACAAGGAAGATCTTCCCAAGATTGCCAACTTATTACGTCCTGGAGGAATCTTGGTTGGTCCAGGTAGGCCCCGTGCTATCTCAATTGTTGTGGAGCTGGTCTCGCTTGGGATGAGCTAATCACGTACGTGCGCTCTTGTACCATACAGTGGAGGATGAACTCATGAAGGTTACCAGGATTGGTACCCGCACTGGCACCCGCAAGAACTCGATTGGCTCCGAGATGGAAACCGATGATCCAAATCCCCTACCTCCGTCCGAGTTCTCGCTGACAGTGTTGAGTGGCGTCCGCTTTGCCACGTTGCTTGCCAACCCGAACATCAGCACTGTCTTGCCCTCGACGGTCTGGAATCCGTCCATTCATTATCAGTACCCCGACAGCTTTCGAAACTCGTGCCGCGAGATTCTCCTTTGTTCCAACGCTCCTCGCAGCCAGAAACCACGCCCGGTTCCACGGGACACCAGTGACAATGTAGCAGGATTGCTACCGCGGGTTCTGTGGATGGAAATTTTGTCGTATACTCATCGTGATTGTAAGTGCGCGAAAGGTACCAACAACAGCATGCTGTTGTTGCTGTGTGGGTGCTTAATTCTCTTTGTTTCTCGCTCCACCACAGGGTTCGAGAGCCCCGAGTCCGAGACGGAGTTTTTGCGCCGTCGCCTCCGGGAAGAACAAGAATCGTCACAGAGGGCTCACAATGCCCGTATGGAAGCAGAGGCTCGATGCCAGCTCGCCGAAGAAGAACGCGATGTCTACCGTGTGCTTGCCCGTCGTTACCAGTTGCGTTTGGAAGCTGCACTGCGTCGAAATGGACGCGATAACCACCACAACAATCATAGTAGCGCGTCGGATATCGAGGAAGACGAGGAGGAGGAAGGGGAGGCGAGGGCAATGAGTGGAAGGGAACAAGCCGTGATCTTTGGCTTGGGGGCGATGCTACGAAGCATCCAGTATGAATCAGGAGGTGATGACGATGAAGACGAAGAAGAGGACGATGACGACATTGACGAAGATGACGAGGACGAGGGCAGCGAACCGAATGAAGCTACTGGAAGGGCAAGTGGTGGCAATGTGCATATGGAAGAAGACGGTCACGAAGAACTGAATGAAGAGATGGATGAGAACGATGGAGACGATGATGACGACAGTGGATCAGTCAGCTACTTTCCCTTGGGAACTCATGGCATGACAGCACATTCCACATCTCTCATTGTGCGTCCGCAGAGGCGCACCGTGTCGATAACAGCTGAAGATTTGTAACAAACCAGCCCAACACAACACCAACGAACGAGCCGAAGCTGGTTCTGTTTGGTGAGTACAATGATTTTGGACCAAGGCAGCAACCAACCAACCAACAAAAGAAGCTCGAAATAGTGCACCTCCTGTCAGCTGTCAGCCAGTCCCTCTATACAATTGCTGTGGTGGTCTCCTTGTGTTTGCCCTGAGAGCTCGCTGTCGGCGGGGTGCACCGAACAAATTGATTCATTTTACACACATTCCGTAGGATATATGGTTCGATTCTACTATTCAGAAATACATAATTCGATAAGAATAACACTAGTATCAAATGAGTTCCTTACATATCACTATCTAGCTAGCTATTGCGCATTGCTAGCTAGCTATTGAGCATGGTGCGACTCTGCCAGCATAAGCATGTGATACAGGGTGCAACGGGGGACAAAATTCACTGCCCGCCAACTGGTCAGGAACCCCTCCACACATGTCTTGTGGATAGGAGTGATGTATGGGGCGGCCCCTGGATGTGTCGTCTTTGGGTTTTTGTCGGCTTGGTGGCCAAATTTGTTGGTGGCAGTGTCGTAGACTAAAGGTTGCATTTTGATTGAAATTGTGAGCAGCGAGTTCCGAGCCGGCAAGGGCATCTTCACGAAATGGTATCTTTTCCTTCATGTGAGTCTCATACAACGGGTCTCGATGTTAATTAAATTTGTCGACGCGGTTCCACATCCAGTCACGAAGTCTGAAGCGAAACATGCCGCGCCAATGTCCAAAACCACACAAGAAAAAACAACGGCAATGGCACTACTTTAGTGTTTGTTCCGTCGCATGCCTCCAGCAATCATACCCAGTAGTTTGTAGTTTCCTCAAGGCAACTCGACTACTAGTATCACTGTTTTCAATAAATCAAAATGCTCAGACCAATGGAACGAAACGGCCATGCTTCGCACAGTTCATCGCCTCAACATCCCAATGCTACCGCCACAACCAGCATCAGCCCCAGCAGTGGCAATGGCAGCAGTAAATTGACCAGGGGCAGCAGCAGTCGACGAATATTCGGCAATGGAATTCAAATGATTGTGTTGATACTGATTGGTGTGGCTCTGGCGTTTAGTGGAATTTTCATGGTCCAATTTGCTTCCTCTGCTGGTCAATATGATGCGGATTTTTTGCCCCATGACAAGAAGGAAATGATGGCATCGCAACCAGGATCACGAGTGCCAAAAGTTGGGACAACTCTGCGAAACACGGCAAATAATAAACAAGTGCAGAAACAGAGAGAAATGACGGATGAAGCTTCCAAACAGCCACTGCTATCAAATCAGGCTAAAATTGGTGCTCAAGCTGCAGAAACTGAACCAATATCTACTGGTACATCCAACAAACCTCCAAAGAATTCTATTGAGAAAAAGAACAGAAAAGTCAAGAAACAACGAGCAGAAAAGACTAAACAATCCACAACTCGCCTAGAATCTGAGGAGCAGGTGGATGATCACGAGCCAGCATCTCACGAAACCACTCCTCCACCAATGGACAAGCCTGATGAAAGCAGCAAGGCCACAACAAAACCACTCAAGACACTCGAAGCACCTGTTTCCTCATCATCATCAACAACAGCTTCAGCCACTAAAATTGAAGCAACATCCAACAAAGCATACGCCTTTCTTCTAGGCGGCATCCCGGAAAAGCCAAGAGATGGGAGTAATCTCATCAAACCTTCCCTGGCCAAGGGAGAACCTTTCCCATACGATTCCTACCGCGGATTACTCTACAATATACTCATATCCGTCAAGACACTTCGAGATTCGGGATCCACTGCGGATATGGTGGTTCTGGTCCACATGGCAACCGCCAACACCAAATTGCCACCCGAGCACACACAATGGCTCACAAACCTGAATATTCGAATCATCTATGTACCAACGGCACCCTCTGTCGTCAACGAATTCAGTACCATACCCTTTGAAAAATTCCGCATTTTGGATTTGATCGAATACAAGCGAGTACTCTACATGGATGCCGATGTCACTCCCCATTGTAATCTGGATTACATTATGGACTTGAGCATGCCAAACGACAACGACGATAGTCCACCCCTACTTCAAGAAAACTTGATTGTCAGCTTGGCAAAAGCACCCGCTACGGGAAGTTTGTTCATGTTGGCACCAGGGCCTGGAAAGTTTGCCAAATTAATGAAGGTCGCGGCGGATTCCGCCAATTCCTTGGGGTGGCGAGATGGACCAGGATGGTCCAAAAGTGGTGGTGGCAGAGTCAATCCGTGGAGAGCTCTCGGCGGTAGTACTCTGCCTGGAAACTCTTACAAGTACACTGGAGCTCAATCCGATCAGGGAATGGTCCATTACTGGACAACTGTAAACCAAGGAAAGGTGTCCATTGTGATTGGTGATGTTGTCGAAAACTGGAATAATGGGGTGCTCATGTCCAACTTGACGGGTAATCCGCTCAAACAGTATTCGTGTCTCTCGGATGACATGGATGGAAACATGGACCGGAGCAGCATGTTTGAAACTCCAAAGGATTCACACATCATGTCCCCGAAAGGAGTGGCTCCCTATCGCGACTTTTCTCAGTGGGGTCATGCCAAAAAGAAGCCTTGGCATTTTATTCAGGCACCGCTCGTGGCATCCGAGGAGGACATGAAAACTCCAGTGGAACGTTGGTTCCATACGCTCCGAAAGCTAGACCAAGAGCTGCAATTGGGTCTTGACTTCCGTGATACAAGTGGCGGGAAAGGAAAATCCAGACAACCTAATTGGCGTCATGTCGAAAAGAAAGAGTGGATCAGCGTCAAGCCGTCTTGGACCACCACGGTCAAGTCGGTGGGTCAATGGGGAATTCGAGGTGTCGACAATCCACAATCAGTGCTACCATGGGAACCGCCAGAATTACTGTCAGCAGTTCCCAAGCCTGCTGGTGGCGATGACCCCAACAGCAATCTTCGATCCATCTGCAGCTGCGACGACCAACCAATTCACACAGATCCCTGTTCACTGCCTGATCAGCAGGTGGAGGATTGGCTGGAGGATCGTTCCCAATTGTCCTTATCAGCAGAGCGCCCTCTCTGCCCCAATGCCGCTCGAAATCATTTCCACGCGGTGGTTCCAGTACATGGCCTGTCGGAAGATGCTGCGCGAGCGTCTGTATGCTCCGTGGCATGCCAAGATTATCCACCGGGCAAATTGTCAGTTTACATCTACGACGATGGGTCTGATCCCACTGGATTTGTGAAGAGTGCCTGCTCCAACAAACAAATTGATCCAGCAGTCAAGATCCAACAGGCCCAAATGCGTTCCCTGGAAGAGTCTGTCGCTCAGAACAACGCGGGTGAGCTTGTTGTAGATTGCCTGCATCCTGCATCTCGCCAGGCCTCCAAGAACTCTCTGCATTTGGCCCTTGGGCTTGTAAAGACGCAATCCGGTGCCAATGATATTGTTCTTGTGCTGGATGGTGGCGATGAACTATCGTCAAATCGGGCCCTGCAGACTATCAACGAAAAATTCATCCAAAAGCCTGCCTGGACCTTCTTTGCTTCCAGCACATCGGCATTGTTGTCGACCGAGGCCGACTTTAAGCCTCGAGAGAACTTCCCGATGGAGGAGATTGGTTCTCCTCTTGGTTTCAAGGCGCACCTGCTAAGTCATGTAAGTCACGCGGACTTCTCGGCAGTTTCCGATGGCTCTGAGCGTTCGTATTTCTACCGCATGTTGGAACTATCGGGAGCGGATAGAGTGGTGTCAATGGCTCTGCAAGCCACCAGACACAAGGACGCCAGAGCTGACGGTGCTTCTCAAATGAGCCTCATACGGAAGGCCCAGCCTGCCACCAGATTGGAACTCCCCGTGGAGGTCGTTTTGACGTGTACAAGCGAAGTTCTTGTCAGGCATCAACTAGATTGGTTGCAAGAACAATCCCTGACGAAATCTCGAAACATCAGTGTCCATCTGCTCATCGAAAGCCCGCAAATGGAGAGTGCGATAGAGTCTGCTGTCAAAGAATTCCTCGCAGACCAAGCCAAAAGCGACGCTAAAGATTCCCTGCCAATAACCGTGAACTTGCAGAAGCAATTTGATGCGACCCAGGGCTGCTCCGATTTTCTGTTTGCGCAGAACCTGCACCACGAAAGGCCCCTCGATCATGTTGTGTTTCTTGATGGCAACCAGTACTGGTCGCCCACGTATCTCGCCAGCCTGACACATCAGCATCGACCCAGAGGCATGACGACCTGGATCGGAAAGCGATTCGACGATCAGAACCCCCAAACAAAACTTGCCGAGTACTCAAACTCCACTTTGTCCTTTATGGACATTGTCAAAGGCAAAAGATTAGACGAGACACGGTTCACGACCATGACATCTGATGCGTCAATCTTCGACGCAAACCTTTGGCTCCTTCATGGTCAAATGGATCGTTTGAAGGGAACTTTTGAAAAGTCGTGCGACCTGTGGGTATCCTACACGTTGGATGCGCTGCTTGGGTGGAGGCAACGGCGACTTGAAGCCGAGACAATCCCGGTGAACATTCCAAGCTCTGACAAGAGTGTCTACGCAAACAAGGTCTTTAGTAGGTTACCCACTGGAAAGGGGCATGATATTGAAAATCTCAGGACAGCAATATCAGAGCAGCTCAAATCCCGCCCCAAGCAAAGCCTCAGCAACGACGGTATGAATCGCCTTTTCGCAGATTTGCAGAGAAAGTTTCATTGGAGAGTTCTGAAAAGGCGAAAAGGCGACTTTGCATCATTGAGCATTGTTCCACCATTGCATGATGACCAGGGCGAGAATGTTGCGCACCCTCAAATCGCACCAGAGACGAAGAGCGAAAAGCGGGCGTTCGTCTGTGCCACTGGGCAGTTCGACCGCTTTGAAGCTGAAAGCAAAATTGAAAATCTGTTTATACCATTGCAAAAAGCTGGATACAAGACAGACGTTGCGTTGATCTTGTCTAATCCGGGAGAAACTGCCTTCACCAACGAAGACTTCAAAGAGAGAAAGAAGATCAAGACAGATTCACATCCTTTTTATGATTCCTTTGAACATGCTGTTGCAGACTTTGAAAAGAACAACGTTAGGGTTCTCTTTCCGAAGAATGGCACATACCCCAAAGTTGCCGACCCTCCTTTGCACAAGGATTACTTTGGCCTCTTATTCGCTGTCCAAGGGCGCGACAAAGAAGCTCAGAAATCGCGCGTCCTAAACCACGCAAGGATTTTTGACAGCTACGTTCGATGCTTGAACTACGCAAAAGCTGCCAGTCTTGAAGCGACTGGCAAGCCCTTCTCATCTTCGAATCCATACTACGACGTTTTCATTCGGATCCGCGACGACGTTGGCTTCAGTAGACCCCTCACGGAAGAAGTTCTGCGAGATGCAGTCCCACCACCACCCAACAGTATCGTCGTGACACCTTGCCGCAGTTGGGAAGGCATCAACGATAGGTTTGCCATTGTCAATCCCGATGCTGCCAGAAGCTACTTTGAGCGTCCTTATGACATCATATCAACAAACAAACACATTGATGATCGTTTGGTTCGCAACCCCGAGTCTTTCCTGTTGTATGCGTTTACGACGGCCAAGCTAAACATCCTGGCCCACCCTGAGCTCCGGAACCTGAACCGAATGTACAAGTCCAGCAGCGGAAAAGTGTCAGTGAATACTGGAGATAACAATCCAGGCTGTCCCAAGCCCAAGTTTTACACATACTTGGATCGCCTGTTCGAGTTGTACAATTGGTACATGTAAGCGTTTAACAAGCTGGGACTGTAGCTGTCGTACCGGTACATGCAGGGAGAGGCGGCTTCGAACAGGACTACGAAGGCACATATCACATTCACGAGGAGGAGTCAGGTTTGTGGAGCCTCAATGTCGGATTTTCCTGACAGTGCCACAAGCAGTTCAGCTAACGAGGAACCTCCAAACAATCACAAGATGCAACGGTTGTTGCCGTGCTTTCTGGTTTGTGAAAACCTCCACGTTGGGAATACTTTCGGTTGGCTGGCCTTCAGGCAGCAATGCACGCCTCACATAGTGAGCATAGAGGGACTGATGGGGCTTGGGCCCACGTTAGGAGGGCCACGGATTGTAGCCGTGAGGCATTATGTAAGAGTTGTATGCACGAACTTGCTCCATTGGCCGCTCTTCTGTCCCCACTTTGGTGATGGCGATCTTTTGCTCTGAGATGAGGAGTGCACAAATAGACGCAACCAGGTATCTAGGATACAACAACTCTTTTACTACAATGCAGCATTACGAAATACAGTAGTTTGATGTACCCTTCGCGATCATCTCCTATGGTCATAGTCCCTTGTCCCATATCCTCGGATTTCTCAATTGCTGCTGTGAGACACCGAACACCCTTCAGGGAAGGTTGTTTTCTCCCGCTGACAGCTTCAAAACTTGTACGAGACATGTGGAGATGATCCATTGCCACGCTCACATGACACCCAGCCCCCTGGTGGTGGGAAATCTAGAGTAGATGTTGCCTTGTAGAAATCGACTTCCACCATGAAATCCGGATCCTGTACCGAAGGGATTTCGGAATCAATAAACCATGTGTCGAAGCTGTAGATGATTCTGAAGGAAAGTTGCTTGCCCTCGTAGGAACTTTGCATGATGTATTTTGGTTTGTTCTCATTCAATTCATCTAGCAAATACACTCCATTCACAGCTTCTGTCCCAGCTCCTTCCACCTTGATCGCAATTGGACATCCTCTATGCTCATCTGTTCTTCCCGTCGAAACCCAATGGCCTTGAAGATTCCGAGGATTCTGAAAGTTCTTATAAGCAGACAACTTGGTATGTGTTAGTGCTTGATTCTTGTAAGCTTCCGATAGCTGCTCAGATGTAGCCAGGCCTGAAGGAGCCACCACGGTTGTCAAATATTGGGGTTCAATTTTTTCAAAAGATATGTGCTTGGACATGCCTGCTGCTGATTTCTTTCTTTGATTGGGGTCAATATCCCTCCAGAGTTTAAGAATCCGAAACAGTTCCCACTCTGGAAAATCCATTTCTAAATCCATAAGGATCTCTTCCACAACAGTTGCATTCAAAGAGGCCACATGATTGGCGGACAGTGATTCTGACCAGGTACCGGTGGTACGAACCCAATCTTTTGCCTTTAGCTGCAGCGCTTCTGGCACAGCATTGCCAGCCATTCTGCATGCATGCAAAATGGCAAAAGATGCACACGGCTGTTTAGCCAAGAGACTTTTTTCAAAGCACTCAAGGACAAGGACTCCCAGGCCACCAAGATTGAAGTAGGAGGCAGCCACTGCCAATGACACCAATGATTCAATTTGATGAGTGGGAACGTCATTTTCCTCCCCATCAGGTGCCTTTCGCTTGTTGAACTTGAGGATTTGCGCTGAATCTGTAAGCACAAATTCCACCACTGCCTTGAGGACACTTCCTGAGAAACTGAGGTCTACAACCGGCAGCGATGACTCTTGAAACTTGCCCAGCAGCATCCCTTTGAAGACATCCGAACGGGCTGCCAATAGAAAGCGATTCGCTGGCACTTCGACTCCATCAGTTCCCTTAAGGACTACATCGTTGAGACTATCATCCGTCAGGAACCTTTCCAGCATCTCATTGCGATTCTTGCAGCAGACTGGTTGCCGCTGATTGATGCTCTTGTCCACCATGGTTGAATATTCGCTGTCGTTCAGGTTTGATGTCTTTCAGAACTCTCTTTTGCTTTTGTTTCTCTCTTGTGTCGCAGCGGCGATGTTGGCTCGAAGATTTAACAGCTCGTGAAACATGCTTCGAATAATTGACAAGGGTTAGGGGTTTTGGAAGCAAGTTGAAGCAAGGATTCGCGATCCTTGGATGCAACCGCCAACGGCAACACTGTCTTCGCCTCAATCCCCACCCCTTGAAGACTCCCAAGCTCACCAACAGCCTTTCGGTTACAATCCCACCCTGTTTTCCTGGAATTTTCGACAATGATGAAGAGTGCTCTTGTTCTTTTGTTGGCTGGCTCTGCCGCCGCCTTCGCCCCTTCTTCCCAGAAGGTTAGTTATTAGTTAGTTGATTCTGGTACCACGGATGCAATCTCCTTGCATTGCCTTGAATGAATGTTCTGACGGAACTGTTTTCTTTCTTCAGGCCAGCACCAGTGCTCTTTCTGCCGTCCTTGATGACATGCCAGGAAACACCAAGCCCGTTGGTCCCTGGGATCCTCTTGAATTGGCCACATTGGGATCTGATTCCACTTTGGCATGGTTCCGTGCTGCTGAATTGAAGGTAAGAAGACCGTGGGCTCTAGCTAGCAATTAAGTTGATTGCTTGTGTGAAGTCCCGTACTAACCGGAACGTACATCCTACCCGATTAGCACTCCCGAGTTGCCATGCTCGCCACCACTGGATACCTTGTCCAAGGAGCTGGCTTCCACTTCCCTGGAATGCTCAGTAGCGATGTTTCCTTCGAGTCCCTTTCCACCATGAAGCCATTCGATGCCTGGACTGCCGTCCCAGCCCTTGGACAGGCCCAAATCTTCTTTACTCTTTTCCTTGCTGAATGCATCAGTGAAGCACAAGGAACCCACTACACAAAGGGAGGAAGCACGCCAACTGTCATCTTCCCCCCAATTGACTTCTCTGGAGTTGACCCCGTTGCATTGAAGAAGAAGCAATCCTCAGAACTTAACAATGGACGTCTTGCTATGATGTGAGTGCTTTGTCTCGGTCCGAGCTCCCGTGATTAGTTCATCCTTTTGTGTCTGATCTTATGTCTTCTCTTTTCATCTTTAAAGTGCTATCATGAGTTTTGTGGCTGAGGCCAACATCCCTGGATCTGTTCCTGTCCTCACCGGCATTGACGCCTGGTAAGCAGCTAATCCGCCAGCCAGCTTAACCTCCTGAATGCTACACACCATTTCAGGCATGTTTTACATACTAGAAGGAGCATAGAAAATAGTTCATCATGGGGCTTGACTTCTACTAGTGCTTCGGTTCATCTTGCTGGATGGAACTTAAACTTCTACTAGCAGAGCGAATTATGTACAGGTATAGAAATAGTTGCACGTAGCAAACAACTTAAAAGCACAAGCATAGCGCAGGCTGAATGAGGTTGGAACAGGCCAGGCAAGACAGCATCTCGCGGATGCGTCAAGCTGGCCAGCAGAGGGTCAGACACGCTGGCATGGAATCCAGAATTCTACACTATCTTCGGCTTCTTTCACATAGGAGAAGGAGCATAGCAACAGTTCACGAAGGGGCTCGGTTTCTAGTTGTGCCTTGGTTTCACAGTTCTTGCTGTCCTCGTCTTGGTACTCAGAAGCGCAGGCGCAGCGAATCAGTCGCGGCAGAAGTAATGCTATGTTTGTATGGCAAGACAAGCAAGCACATTGTTGATGTGTTGTGCGTCCTGTTCAGCTTGCTTGGTTTCCTCGGAGGCTGCGCAAGGGCTACATCAATGAAGGTAGCAGTGTGCAACGAAGATGATCTACGCTTCATGTTAAAAGAAAACTAGGCTACCTACAGCTACACTTACAGCTACAAGTATATGAAAACCCCAACTATACAACTTGCTATATCATCCTCAAGCCTCCTTCAGCAGCCACGGGTGTTGTAGAACTAACTGGATATTCGGTCGGCTTTCTGGATCTGGGTTCAGCATAGCTACAATCAGATCGCGAGACTCAATCGAAGAAGAAGAGGGGAAGAACCAGTGAGGCCCCAGAAACTGTTTTTGGTCAGCTTCAGTGATATTCGGATGCAAGGACGCCACCGCGCTGGATCTCCTCCCTCCTTTCTTCCGAGCCTCGTCGTACCACTTTCGGTACGATTGGAACCGTGGACATCGAAGCAAGTCTTCACCAAAAGGTAGTGAGCGAAACAGCATCGCATACAATATGACGCCGGCGCTCCAAACGTCGGCTTTGGTTCCATCGTACCCACTCTGAGCGGGAGCAGCTCCGGGTGGCTGGTTCTTGACGGCCCTGGAGTCGTCTGTTTGAGATATGATTTCGGGGGCAACGTAGTGAGGCGAGCCAACCACTGAAGTCATCCGTTTCAGTGGTGACGGTGGTTGTTCGTCGTACGCAGTGCTTGTGTTCCCGTTACACAGGACATCTTCAACTCCTCCGCAAGTGAAAAAGGAAAGAGCTGAAGCACCCTGAGAGAAAAAGCTATCCATCGCCTTCATGGGGGAGGCAAAATCCCCATTGGACGACGTCTCTGCGGCCGGAGCGTCCCGTCGTGCATTGTAGTTTGGGTCGCCGTTCTGATCAGGGTGGAGAGAAAGTCCTGCCAGGGTGGGTGGCGGCAGAGAATCTGCGACCGTGTCCTGGTCATTCTGGTTTTGGAGGTGCGGCCCAAACGCTGCAGACAACCCAAAATCGGCAATCTTAAGGGTGCATTCGCCGTGGGGGCCATTGTGAACCAGCAAGTTCTCAGGCTTTAAGTCTCGGTGTGCAATTCCATTGGAATGACAGTAGCTGACTCCACTGGCAAGCTCTCGAAAGAACTTTCTCATGATGGTCTCGTTTTCGTCAAATCCTTCTGGAATCTTTTCACTGTGTACGACTCTGGCTGCATTGCTGCTGATCAAGTCAAACAGCTCACCTCCTTTCACCAGCTCCAGAATCAGAAACATGGTTGACTTGGTGTCTTGAATGTGCTCCAAGACTTCAAAGAGATGCACCACGTTGCGGTGTCGTCCTATAAGCATCATGTTGCGAATTTCTTTGGTTGCTGCTCTCCGTTGTCGAAGCCACCGCAGATATTTGGATGGGACAGCAGGGAGTGCAATATATGCATTGAGCGAGTCACAAAAGACTGTCTTTCTGTTTGTTGATACTGCTCTGTACAATCCACTGAAGGGGCGAAAAGGCGGGGTATATAGGAGGGGATGTGCATCAGCATCAAGTGACAGCAGCGTTGCTTCAAGAAGGGGAACAAGGGCAAAACTTACGTTCTTTGAGCGGTCATGGCTAACGGGTTCGCAATGGCTTGCTTGGATTCCATGGACAAAGAGGCAGTGGAACTCGAACCACCAGTGGCTGATCGTTGGATTGATCTTCCAATGTTGGCAAAGAAATCTGGATGTGGCGCGGGGAGTCCAGCGTTGACTCGATCAATGGCTTCCATCATGTCCTTGAATTCTGCGGGAAAGGTTAGTCAAATAAGCGGGTCAGAGTACCGTCAGAAACCTCAGGAAGCATAGAAATCCCACAGAAGCGTTCAACAAGCTATTCTTACCATTGTCAGATGCACTAAATGGAATGTGCCCCCAGATTTCTATACATCGTGTCAATGGCAACTCTCGCAGCGCATTGTTGGCTGGATCGACAAAGGCTGCGACAAGACTTATTCTCAGCCCCTTTTCCGGCGATCCTCGATCGACTCGTGGTCCTCGCACTTCGGAATTCCGATCTCCACTGTACCGTTGCAGCGTTCTCAAGTTTCGACTATTGGGATTCACCAGCCACCATACATGCCGTTCTTCCATGGGTCGGTGGCCTCGCTTGACATCCTTTTCCATGTCTTCGCCCCTGCGAACGACAACGGCCGTTTTGGTTGCTTCCGGATTCATAATACGAAATCCCACAGGATTGAGAATCTTAATGGCGACGGTTTCTTCCATCAATGTATTGTTGACTGGTTGGTAGCTGCCACTGGTGGACAGACACTGTTGTTCTGCATTAAAGGCAACGGCTTTGGCGTAGTGCTTGGATCTGGAGGGAGCATCAATGGTGTCGACCATGATCACCTGTTGATCGGTGGGACTGGTAGCTTCTATAGCAGTGTCCTCTTCGTTGCGCAGGGTGACCGATCCGGCCGTCGTGGATGGTCCCGTGAGTTCTGTTCGATCACTCTTGAGGCTTCTGCCATTGGACGACATGCTTCGTTTGCCCTGTCCTCGTTCGGAAATATCCAGGTCCATGGCGGCGGGTGCACAGAATAAAGAAAGGGGCATAGTAGAACCCCCACCGCTGGTGGATCGTTTGCTGGTCTCTTCTTCGGGAGCGACAATGGCAACGGTATCATCCCCCGACAGGTGTCCACCGGCAGCACCATCATAGAATCCAATCCGAACGGGGTATTCCTCAATAGGTCGTAGTCGATGTCCTTCGTAGACGACGCCGGCCACTCCCCCACCGAGATAGTTTCCTAGTTCGTATGTGGGTACGCTATCGACGCCAATGACTTGTCCATCGTATGTATCTACTCTCCGACAGAATCCATCTCGTTCTTTCATGAATTGCTTTTTGTAAATGTAATCTCGTTCTTCCTTTTCTTCCATGGCATCTTGCCACTGAAACAAGGAGTCTCTATCGGGTGATTTCGGTGATTTCGGCTGTGGGTGGATGGATATGCAGAAGAGAAGGAAATCAAACAAGGAAATAGATAAGTGAGAAGACCACACTCCAAACTCAATACTTTACCAGCATGGAAGTGAGCAAGGAATTATGCCACCTGGGTATCCAGATAACATGTTTGTCCAGGTATCTGTGGGTATATAGATAGTTGAGCAAGTTGACACGCACCTTTCCAATACTAGTGATGGGTGTTTTCTCTGGCGACTTGGGTCCACTGGTACTTTCTCCTGCCTGCTGCACGGGTTCATCAAAGGGCTGCTGCTGTTGGGCTGCATGGCTGGGGGATGATGAGTACCATCTCGGTTCATCGTCCGCAGATTGTTCTTGTTTGGTGGGAGAGGATCGTTGTTTGGCATTCATAGGACTACTGTGGTTTTTGTCGCTTTTGGGTAATAGTTGGCGCAATCGTCCCTTCATGCCTTTCTTTTGGGATCGTTGTTGTCGGCTTGCCGCCAGCGTGGGTTCCTTGGATGTTTGTACGGAGAGTTCCATTTCATCCTTCTTCTCGTCGTCGACAGTAGAAGATCTCCCCGAGAAGCGACGGACAGCGGGAGATGAATTGCGAGAGCTATTGCGAGTCGAAGTGGGGGCACTGCTTTGGCGATGACTGCTGCCTGGACCTCCAATCAGACGAGATTTCCAGCTGCTTCGAGAAGACGATCCCGTGGCTGGAGCACCCATAGAGGCTGTTCGAGCAGGCATACTGACAACAATCTAAAGGACGGAGAAGAAGACTCGACTGCTTGGCCTCAGATAGAATCTGATGGGATGGCACGACCGTGTCTTGAGCTGGTAGCAGATAAAGAGAGACCTGAAGCTGATTCTACCTCTCTCTCAGTGAGGGTATCCTCGCCTACTTGAGATAATGCAGCTGCTGATCTTTGACTCTACAACCACAGCAACAACAACAGCCTTCAAAATAGCTTCTTCTTATCTTCTTCTGTGGTTGTCTTTCTTTTCCACTACCTCCATGACCACTTGACTTGTAGACGGCTGGCTAGCTAGCTTACAGTAGCACGATACTTGCTTCGATCGTAGCACTCACACTGTTTTCGGCATCCACCGAGCATTTTCCGATTTAGCGAAGCCACATCGGATGGAAAAGGGCGAAAGCGCCGAATGGCTCGCGCCACGCAGGCTAAGTACCATTGCCAATGTCGGATGTCAAGCATTCAGTCTATACGTTGCGGAGATTTAATATATGCATCGTCCACTCACGCGTGAATCCAGTCCTTTCCCACGGGAAAGACATCACTTTCAAGATCCAAAAACAACAAGGGGGGTTTTAGAATAGGGAAATTATCTACGGAAGCCAGCCGGGGCCAGGCTTAAGCAAAGAACAGTCGAAATTCAGGACTAGGTTCTGTGGGATCAGGGGCAAGAAATTGAGGACAATTACGGGGGGCAAAGGGTTTGGCTTTGCGGGATCCACGGAGACATAAATGGGTAGCTTTCACAAGGGCAATTGAGATACGGGTCTGCATGAAGAACAATCTGATTTCTGATTCTGATACATTATCTCTTCCCACCAAACAGAAGTACCGGTAAGGGTCTTTGCCATCAGATACCGGTAGATAACCCTGAACCAATAGTCCTAATCGGTCCCACCACCGCATTAACCCATTGAGTATCCTCCCTCGGATTGATATCTCTAGCTTTTCAGCGAGATCCGCTACGATACCCTGATCACCTCAATCGTGCCACCGTTACCCAAGATTCTCTGAAGCTACCTCTAGGTATCGATCAGTCTGAAGTTGAAATCATGGCTTCTGAAACTGATGAGCGTGTTTATTCCACCAATGATCCCCTGCTCTTGGGCCACAAGGATCTATGGGTTGGAAACATCCTTTCATTCTTGGGAATGGGACACTTTGCTTTTGTTGGAGCCGTCAACAAGCAGATGTACCAACTTTACGAGGAATATTGCGAGACTGTGAAGGATCCTCCTAAAGTGCGTGCGGACATCCCTGGCGGAAGAAATCGCCAGGCTACCTGCAAGGATACATTCTACAGTGCAGCATTCTACAACGAATCTTGTGCGGAATTCTGGCGGGGCCACAACACTACTAGTCCATCGCCACGCTTGGTCTGCAACGCAATTGCCAAGCTGGGAAATCTGCGGGTTCTTCAATGGGCATGGGAAAAGGAATTTCCCTGGTCTGTGGTAACCTGCAAAGCTGCCGCAAAAGGTGGACATTTGCATATCCTAGAATGGGCGAGAGACAATGGTTTTCCATTGGACAGCACAATTTGCCGGGGGCGGCTGCTCAAGCTGGACACCTGCATATTTTGAGATGGGCGAGAGGGATGCCACTGGGACTCGACGAAAATATGCTATGATGCTGCCAATGGGGGGCATCTAGAGACTCTCCAGTGGGCTCGCAAAAATGGATGCCAATGGGATGAAGTGGTTTGCTCCAATGCTGCCGCAGGTGGATACTTGGAGATGCTGAAATGGGCCAGAGACAATGGATGCCCTTGGGACGACCTAACATGCTACAATGCGGCATTATATGGACACTTTGAACTATTGAAATGGGCTCGAGAGAATGGATGCCCCTGGGATGAAAGGACATGCAGTGCTGCAGCTGAAGGAGATCATTTGGATATTCTGAAATGGGCTCGAGAAAATGGATGTCCCTGGAATGCTTACACATGTGCTCGAGCAGCTGTTGGTGGCCACTTGGAAGTCCTAAAATGGGCTAGGGAGAATGACTGTCCATGGGATTCAGAAACAATGTTTTGGGCTGAAGACCAAGGCAATCTGGATATCCTTCAGTGGGCACGTGAACATGGTTGCCCCGAACCGGGACCCGATGAGTTGGGTTGGGTTGGTTAACTTGCCTCCGGTTTTGACAAGGTTGGATAACACGGGATGCCAAAACAGAGCCCATCCATTTCCTTGCCGCCAGCCACCTAGTAGGACCGGCTACTATTGATAGAACCAGAAGAGTGATTGAACATTCTTCAATTCACTCGAACCTCTTGGGAGTCGAGTCCATCAGCAAAAAAGAATTCTTGAAAAGTAGCTTCCTAAAATTTCTCGTGGCGTCAACACAGACTTCGTCGAATTGATTTCTCATGGAAGCTCTCGCTTGTTCTGCACGTTCGCTACGATGTGCTGTTGTGTTTCAGTGCGTTGGTACACCAACAGAAGCAACATAAATTGTTTGAGAATTATGTTTATTGGCATCAATTAATTAATCTATTGGGCAGTACCAGGTAGTATCGGTGCTCCGTCAATCAAACAACTGGTTGGCTTGTTGTGTGTGGCTCCTCGTTGTCCCTTACCTTCCTTTCTTCTTCTTCATTTCCATCATATATTCAATTCATCATTTATTTCCTGACTCCACTACAGTACGGTAGCTGTTTTAAATTAAGCAATATCCAAAGCAGGTAGCACAAAGTGGAACATTCCGAGCTTGGCCTGCAGAGGCGTGGAACTCAAGGGTGTTGATCCATCATCGCCCAAAACGACGAAGTTGTATTCTCCTTGCATGCGTGCTACCGCCGGTGTCTTGTCCAATTTGGGCTTGACACTCAAGGGAGCTGTGCTGGTATACTCAAAACTCTCGCCAGACTTCAACACTGGTTGGCGCCCAGTGACACCTGGTCCTTGCACCACGTCCTTGTTGGAGCTGCCAATGGTCTGAATCTCAAAACGACGCGACACCAATTGGATCGCCTTCTCGGATTCGTTGGTAATGCGTATATTGTAGGCAAAGCAGTGCTTGTCCAAGGATGAATCCGATCGTTCGGGTCTGTAAGACGACGTCACCTGGACACGAATATCTTCCGTCACTTCCTCCGAGGAATCATTCAATTTGGCGGTAATATCACCCGTCTTCATATCGGCATCTCCGGGCAACGTCGAGGCAGGAGCCGCCGAAGGTGTCGTGGCGGGCTTCGTGGCGGCTGGAGCCGGGGCACTGGCCTCAACTGCATCGTCCTCGTCGTCATCATCCTCTTCTTCCTCCTCCTCATCGTCATCGGCCCTGCTAAAGGGTTGCACACGCTGATCATCGGGGAAAATGAAATGGAACATTCCCAATTCGGCGGTGGCTTCACCACCCGCTTCAATCTGTGCTTCCGTGGCGGTATCCTGTCCGTCCTTGAGGGTTACGTATCGGTATTCTCCCTTCATGCGAGCCGCAATAATGGTGGTCCCAATGGGTCGCACACTGAGAGGGGCAGTCGACGTGTACTCAAAGACTTCGCCAGGTTTCAAAACGGGAGTTCTTCCCGTGACACCTTCCCCCTGCACGACATCTTTCATGCTGGATCCGACGGTCTGAATTTCGAATCGACGTCCCAAGAGCTGAATGGTGTCGGTGGGAGAATTATTGGTGATGCGGATAGTGTACTGGAAACAATGCTTGCGCATGGGAGGATCGGATTGTTCCTTGTTGTAGACCGACGACACTTCCACTTCCAACGGTCCCGTGGTGGTGGTGGACGACGATTCAATTTTGAGATCAGCCAGATCTCCTTGCGTGACATCGCTATCGCCTGGAAGACGAGGACGTCCACCCGAAGCTTCGGCAGCGGCCGCTTCTCGCGCCTTGTCGGCACTGGATTTCTCGCCCGAATCCGCGTCACTGGTGCTGCTGCTACTGCTGGGAGTGACGGCAGAGGACTCACCCGACTGTCCCAATTGCTTGCGACGGACCTTCTTGACTTCTTCCCGTGCTTCTTCGAGTGCTTTTTCCATACTCTTGGTTCGATTCTCGGGTTCTTCCGGTAGCTTTCCCAAGATTTCCTTGGCCCGATCACGCTTCTTCTTGTTGTCTTCTTCAATTTCATCCATGAGTCGTCGCATGACCCGTTCTCGTCGTTCCTTGGCTTCTCGGTCTTCTCTCAATCCAGGATTGCGCATATCTTCTTCGTACTGGCGCTTTTCCTTTTCGATATTTTTTGATCGTTCCGCCATCATGGCCCGTCCACGGGCCGCTCGATCTTGCCGGATTTCTCGCTCCAAGACGGCCGCGGCACGAGACGGACTAATCCCAATGTCGTAAATTTCCGTGTGCACGGCATATCCCTTCTGGCCAATGGTAATACCGGGTGGTGGTCCACCGACCTTTTCGGCCAACTTTTTCAAATAGTTAATCTCTTCCTCGGGATCTCCCAATTGAATGGCATCACGAAGTCGTTCGTTGATGGCAAACCAAGGATCCCGCTCGTACCGGCGCTTCATGTCATTATTGGCTTCGACCCATCCAGCGTGATCCTTGCGCATTCGGAGATCGGGCAAATCATTTTTGCGCACTTGTCGCATGACGGTGAGATTTTCCTTGCGTTCTTCGGGTGACATGGTCTGCGTGAGTTGCTCGTCACTCGCGCGGCTTTTCAATAATTCCTCCTTGTCTTCGCTCTTGAAATACCGAGAAGGACGAGGCTTGATGATGGGATTGGGATCCCACGGATCGAGCTTCAAACCGGTAAAGGGAGACTTGGCACCCGAGTAACTACCGGCCAATTCCATATCGTCATCTTCCTCTTCGTCATCGTCGTCATAATCATCCTCGTCTTCATCGTCATCATCGTCTTTGGAGGATGATTTGTCCATGCCCAGAAATCCAGCAAACAGCTTGGTAGATGAGTTGGACAGCCATTGAGGGGTAGGACTGATGATGGAATTTGTGCTTGTGGTGGTCTTCCAAATGGCAGTGGAAGGAGTAAACGCACCCACAAAGGGAATGCTCACAGCATGGGCCAGAAACAAACTGACGGCAATCGGTGTGGCCTTCATGGTAGTATTTTATTTATTTATTTACCACAGACAAAATGACACAACAACACACCACCCAAGATCTCTTAATTGAATAATGACAGAAAGGTATGGATTTGATAGCAATCAATCGTGAAGCAAGCAAGGACCTCGCTCTGCTTTGTTGCTGAAATCAAAAGAATGACACAGATGGATCTGTTCTTCTCTCTCTTTCGAGTTATGCGAAGACTCACGAACACAATCAAGATGGCCCGATCCGGTTGGAGTGAGAAAACGGGGAGCGTCGCCTGTCACAATTCGAAAAGGTATAGAGGTAGTTAATTTCTCTTATATATCAACATACATAAAGTAATTTGAGATTAACAATGCCTATTACTTCAGAATTTCGAAGAATGCTTTCCATCTGCGAGCTGGTCCTGACATCTGTATGATCTCTCGCTTTGGATTTGACTGACGTCATATTATCAGAGAAAAAGATCCACTCATCATGCTGCCAGCAGGCTGTCATTGGCATTCGACGAATTTCTACAACAGGCTCCTTGCATCTTGCATGCAAGGTGTTGCGAGGACTCTAGACTACAGTACTGCGTAATTTAGGTTTTGAGGAATGAAGATGGTATCAACACCTAAAAAAGGTACCTATAGAACCCTAATTTTGTGTTAGCTGCTTTCTATATATGCATTACTATTTTATTTTTATTGCACTCCTTGCAACGCTTGATAGGATTCGGACAAGAACTCTTGGCAGGCATCCCGTATTTCCCGACTGGCACTTTTCGTTTTTTCCGTGCTATCTTCTTGCCATTCCTTTTTGCGATTCCCTCGTCCTTTGGAATACATTTCCGACACAGCCAATATGCGATCAATATGCGGTTGGCCAATAGGAACTCCCATGTGCGTGGGTAGAATGGTCTCGTACATGCTTGTCGGGAGGGTATCGTAATTGACGGCACGACCTTTTCCATTACTTTGTTGAATGTTGGACAAGGCCGATTCGGTAATGGTAGCCAAATGAGCGGCACAGAATTGTTCCGGTGACAAGTCGGATGTGGAGTAATGTCCGTGTCGTTTGGCGACTTGTAGTGTGGCGAGGGGAGGTCGATGCAACGATCGTAAACAATTGGCCTGCTTGTAACCTCGTGCCAGATGCGACATGATGACTTGTACGGGTTCGCGGTAGACAAATATCCAGGGTGTATCGGGAAATGCGTGTCGAAAGACGTGAATGTACTTACTGCCCACGGATTGAATTTTGAAAAAGACGCGTTCTTCGGACGGATCGTTGGTCCGACTCATCATGTACAAGACATCTCGAACAATCATGGCGGCCTGATCGATGGTGCAGAGTTCAAACGCATCGCCACAGACTTTGAACGCCGTGACGGGAGGAGGACTTTCGGAATAGACGCGATGTTGTGTCGGATTGGAGGCAATGAGTGTATTGGCGACCAGGGTAGACCCACAACGACTTTCGTGAAAGACAACGCCCGTCACATTGAGTGGTTTGGGGACATGGATATCAGTAGGTTGTCGTGAATTCGTTTCGTCCATATCCCGGGCCATGGCGGCAATATCCAAAAGTGGCAGTCGGACTCGGGTGTTTTCGCATTTGTGGGAATTTTGAATGACATCTCGAAACATGGGGACTGTTGTGTGTGTGTGTGTGTGTGTGTGTGTTTGCAGAAAACGTGTATTGTTGTGATGAGATAAGATAACAAAAGATGAGATGAGATAAGATAACCAAAAAGATAATACACCAACCAGCAGATCAGAAAGAAGAAAGCAAGACACATACCAGACGACGGATCCTTTTTGTGGGCTGCCCAATTGACTTTGCAAAAGATCCCATAGATCCCCGCATAACTATCCGAAGGCGCTTGCCGTAGTTCCCTGGATACCACTTCGATATCCACCAAATTCAAATCGGCTGCCAAGATACGTTCGGCGTCCCTACCCATTGGCTTCTTCAGGCGTCGCCGTCGGAGCTTGCTAAACAGAGATTGTCGGTCCGTTTGCTCCTCATTCGCATTGGAATACTTTTGATCTAACATATACAGACACCCAATAGATATCACAAACACTAACAGTACGACGCCAATCTTCTTCCCAAGCTTTCGCCGTGCCGCAGAACCATCGTTTTCCTTCATTGTAATATCATTTATCATCTAATTCTGTGGTCTCTGCTGTGGTCTCTGCCTTTGCGACGACCGAAAGTGGCGTCTTTGGTTTCTTATTGTAGGAGGCCAAAGCAATCTACGACAGGGATGAGGATACCGGTAGCACTCGGTGCATTGCACGTGTGGCGGCTCGAAACGCGCCACAACAAAGGGCTGTCCAACTGGTGCCTCGCTATGACGTCAGCCCAAGTGAGGGAAGAGGAACAACACAATGAGGATCAGCTCCCTTCCTTCCAACACAATGGACAGTGCATGACAATGATCTGCGACGGTCATGAAGAACATGAGCAGTGAACAGAGGGAATCGAGGTTAGCAAGTGCTACTAGAAGAGATTTTGTGCCTAGAAGAAGAATCGGTCCAGTAGGAACGAACCGACAAGTTTACTAAATAATTTCTTTATTATGGAAATTCAGTAGTCAATTAGAGGCGTGCCGGCTCGAACCGGTCCAAAATACAGACCGGGTGTTCCATTAAATAAATTATGACGTCATCGTATGACATGCAAACGCTCACATTTTCGATCAACCCACATAAGAAAATTTGGTTTCGTGTGCTTTACGTTCAGCGACCATGTGCAAAAATTTCGTTCGCTACACAACGTTGAGAGGGAGTCAACCACGATACAACCTATCTTTCTATTTTGAAGGTTGTAGTGCTGATCCCAATACCAGTTTCATTCAGATCCATAAGTCTGTAAGGTTCTTCGGGGCAGCAACTGTGTCCGTAAACATAGACATAGCAATTGATACAGTGGTACGATTGATTACTCTTCCGGGAAATCTTTTCCAGAAGATGTATGTTCGATTTGAAGAGCGTTGAAAGGAATGCAAGATTGACTGGAGTAAACCGTATCTTTTAGCTAAAACTAGAATTGTTCAATTTCTGGAGCAATTACTATGGTATAAGGTTGTAATAGAATTTGAACAACAACCTTTTATGCTAGCTATCAGGGTTTTTAGCCAACGGAAGGTAAAGAGAGGAGCAACTCCTGGGGTATCAATCCGAATCGGACGCACGAAAGAAATGGACCTGAAATTCAGTTCAGATCATTTCAGTTGTCGGTTCATTTCAGTTCATAAAATCTCAATCTCAAAAACCAAAACCGAAAGTCGAATCTATGCCATTTTCAACCATGCCCATAATACCCACCATTGTATCCGCCATTGCTCGGTCCATTGTTTTGTCGACCATGATCATGACCACGACCATGACCATCGCTTCCGTTGTGTCCTCTAGGTACGTAATAGCCCCGGTCATGATGCATTTCATTCTGTGCAACGTATTGCTGACCATTCCAATCTCCACGATATTCTTTGCGGTAGGGAAGTGGATTGGATCCGTCATGTCGAACCATCATGGGTCTTTCATAGCTACCTTGATACGGTTCGGGAGGAGTGTATTGTCGTGGAGGACCGGGCGGTGGCCCGGGTGGAGGACCATGGGGAGGCGGATAGGAATGATGGTGCACTACGCTAAAAGCTAGTGTAAAGATCTTTCGAGTGTTTTGAGTTTGAGAGAATGAAAGTTATGAGAGGATTAGAAAGCTATGAAAACTAATCAACGAGAGAGATCTACAACCAAAGGATCGTAGATCTGAACTCCCGCGGGAGACTGTAAAGTGTGATAGAGTAGGTTGCGGTGGCAATCCTACTCACTCCACGATCCAAAAACGGAGTAATGCACTACGCTAAAAGCTAGTGTAAAGATCTTTCGAGTGTTTTGAGTTTGAGAGAATGAAAGTTATAAGAGGATTAGAAAGCTATGAAAACTAATCAACGAGAGAGATCCACAATCAAAGGATCGTAGATCTGAACTCCCGCGGGAGACTGTAGAGTGTGATAGAGTAGGTTGCGGTAGCAATCCTACTCACTCCAGCCACGATTCAAAAACGGAACGCGTGGAAGATTCGTCTAGCATTTATCTAGTAGCGTGGAATCTCTCCACGCCAGCTAAATATCTAGCGCGATGTTTCACCATCGACCTAGTATGACTAGCGGTCATGAGAACCCTGTCTCAATGACTATTCACGAAAGACTCAGTCATGAGTCGAACTCAAACCCTATCTAGGATCGAGTCGCGAATAAGGCTAAGAGCCGTGTATTGCATTCGCCCCCTGACAAGGGTCACGGAAGGCACGACATCAGTCGGACAAGGAGAACATATGAATTAAAGTGCGGGGCACTCTCCGGAGATTGGATGTAGACATGTGCGTCGCACGATGGCAATCCTACAAGGGGATCAGGCCTTGTATGGGTGTAAATACCTTATGTTCCAAGTCTGGTAGACTGTGCCGCTATTGGCGGTAGTATGTCGGAGCCGTACAGTGCCATTGTTATTGACTCGGTCTGTGTGGTAAGGACCTTGTGCGTTGGCTGACCGTATTAACGGTTCTGATACTGATGAATCATCATAGTGTCGTTGACATGGTGTTGATGAGGGACACGTGCCGTGTTCTCCTTATCGGTGTTTTTCTGGATAAGTCGTTGGCGACGTTCCTTAATGTATTTCCGGTTTGCTTTGAAACGGATGTGGTGAAGCTTGTCACGATTGACGCGCGTGAACTTGCGACGAAGTCCATGTTCATCCCGGAGAGTCTTCTCGACCTCTACGCGGGACTCACGTTCTCTTGTCCATGACGACCGGTCATGGATACTGGGTAACCCACGTCTGGTTCAGAACGATGGTTACTCCGTCTGCTGTCTTGGAGCAGCCCTTGGTAGTTCATTGGTCCAATGAATCTACGAAGTTACTTCCTGTTGGTAGGAAGAGCGATAGCTGGATCGCATCTGTTATCTTTTTAGTTAAGAGTTGGCTTCCTTCTCGAGAAGTCCAATTGTCTAGATACTCCAGTTCTTCCTATCGAGGAAGGCCTTGGTAGTGTTGATTTCAATCCCGACTTCTTGGAGTCTTTGGGGAAAGGTCATCCTACTGTTCAACGCGATCTGCGAGATCGACGTCCGTTAGGATGAGTTGATCATCAACGTATGCACGGACATTTTCTAAGTCATGCATGCGTGCTTTCATCTTCCTTTGGAAGATGTCGGGACTATTACATAGGCCCATTGGCAACCTCTGGTACTCGTGCTTTCCCTTCGGGAGTGCAATGGCATAGTGTTGCTTCGAGTGAGGTGACAGCTCGATGTGGTATTGTCCCGTGTTCAGGTCTAGACTGGTAGCGCACTTGAATCCATCTGGGTTCAAGAGCATGTCCTGTATTTTTGGGATAGGATAAGGCTTCCGCTTGATCCGTTTGTTCGGTTCCCGAAAATCCGAGATGAATCGTGCAGATCCCTCTTTCTTGGGAATGATAAAAGTTGGTGCCGCCCACTTGGAACGATTCACCTTCTTGAGTGCCCCTGTTTCGCAGAGACGTTCAACCTCCTTCTTAAGAGTGTTGGTATGGACCCGTGGAGTAGGGTGAGCCCTAGTGTAATAGGATTTAACGTCGGGACGAAGTTCTACTTCGTAGTCGTCCATTCGCAACTCTCCCAAAGTATCCTCGACTGGGTCGAAGCACTTGGTTGAAAAGGCATGAGGCAGTTCTTGCTCCTCCTTGTTTAACGGATTTCGACTCTGGCATATCTGCCTTAAGCCTATTTGTTCGTATGTCGTATCAAGGAATCTTCTTGGACTATTTGCATGTCGCTGACAGCTGCAGAATCGGAAATGGAGAAGTTCTCCTTTCTATTGTGTTCTCTCTTTCGCCGGGAAAAATGCTGGTTCCACCCAATGACATGGTAGTGAAATCAAACTTGATTCTTAGTCGCAGAGAGTTCTTGACCTATTATCACGTCTTGCGCCCCAAGTTCTTGGTGACGTGTAATTCCACTTGATAATTCTATCATCGTGGAACTCAGGAATCCGAGTGTGCCCTTACACTTCGTGCGGGGTTCAATTCCTTCATAGAAGCAGTCCGTAATGTTTGGACGCCCCCATGATTCTTCCACCTGGCTAAACCAGCACAGCAGCTTCGCACCACTATGACGTGGATTTCCACTCATCGGAGTGTAACGGTTTTTGGTTTCCCTTTTTCTCGTCTGTTAAATCTAACATAGACGATAGGTTTGAGGTCTCTTGTCTTGCGACGTTTACGAGGTGGTTGGCCACGGACGAGGTTAACAATGCTAAATGGATCGTCAGAATCTAATTGAGCAGCTTCTAGGCAATCATCTAATTTGCCGTAGACTTCATCAGTTGCAAACAATTCTTGTTTACTAGTTAGTGAGATATCTTCATCACTTAGGTCTGAGAAATCGGAACATGGTTCCGTTGAATCATCATCCTGGCCTAATCCTCGGACGGAGATTTCTCCATCCGATTGATTGAAATCGAAGTCGGCAAGAGCCTTGTCGACTGCGGCCATTTTCTTGTCCATCATGTTGAGGGACCCGACAGAGGAGTTATCCTCGTTATCAGAGTCATCCGACTTGCGCTTGGCAACATGGTTGCATTCGCCTTTCTTCTTGTGATCGGCCTTGACAGCAGCGGTGGAGACTTTCTTCATAAGGACAGAAAGTTCTTTCTTGGTGTAGGACTTGGCATCGTCAGACTTCCGTTTCCAAGTCTTGTTCTTGTTGTACGCTGGCTTGCTATCGTTGCCAGACGAGGACTTGGACTTGAGTTTCTTCAGAGTCATGCAGTCAGCAGTATCGTGAGTGCTGGACTCGTGGTAGTCACACCACTTTCCTTCATTCTTGGAGGAGTGGTTGTTGTTGCGGCTAGACTTGTACTTCTTGCTACTGCTCTTCTTCGAAGTAGCTTGCTTGGCATCGCTGCCTTTGTCAAAGTCTTCAGCAGATTCATTGCGCTCACAGAATCCAATGAGAGACGTCATCTCGGCAGTGAAAGGATCAAAGTCGTGTTCGTCCATCTTGCACATCCAGGAACGAGGAATGCCATGACAGATGATGTCAATGAATTCGTCCTGGTTCAACTGTTGATTGGCACCGAAAGGTGGCAAACGTGGAAG